CTTGTGCAATGAAAACCCGTTTGCGACCACTTATACACGTAAGTTTCTTCGAAGATCTTTTCAATGAGCTCAACTCATCTGGTTTCAAATTCAAAGTTATAACGCGGTGCGTCAACGCTAGCATAGTTTATTTCTATCAATTGCATTTGTTGTTGTGTTCATACTCAACTTGTTGTTTTGATGAATGATATTCTTTCAGAATGGAGGTGGTCAACTATCTAGTAAAGTGTCAACCGACTCTATCAAGTGAGTACAATTCGTCAAACGAAAATTAGAAATTTTAAGTTATCCAGTTTGCTATGTTTATGCATCCGTGTTATTAAAGGAAAGAAAACAGGATCAAAGATGCTATCTAATTGGTTCATTTGTGTTCGACTTATAGGCTTGCTGTTCCTGGGACTGTCAGTAACTTGTCTGGTTATTTCTCTACTGAGTACATCTTCGACAGCATAAAGCACAACAAACTACAAGATATGACCAATTATCGGTAAGTGCTTCGAGTATTTTTATCCACTTATTTTATTTAAGGCTAACTAGAGGTATTGAAGTTTCTTCTGAATTTGTGCAAAGAATAAAATGTGCCCATGGTTGGGTCTTTTTATGGAGTTCTGGGTTTCTGTCATTTACATTTACATCTGTTTATCAACAACCTCAATTGATCCCTTCCTCCAACCTATACCTGTTGCATTACCTACAGATATTAGAGAAATCTTGATACAGGGTTCTTTCAACTCGTAAGCTCCTTCTCATTTCCCCTTACAGTATTGCCCTTAAATCAAATGTAAAGGTCATGAGAATAAAGGAAATGATTCCCATTTAAGAAGCTCCTGGTTATCAAACAAATTCTCCTTGTCAGTACCCCATAGGAAATGTAGAGGACAGTGTGGAGAATATGAATACCAATGTTAGGGTGTAAAGGGTAATATTGTTAGATGTTATGTCCCTTGGCAAGCCTGGAAATAAGTTTTGTACTGTATTAGTTCTTGTTGGTCTGAGAGAGGGCAACTAGCTAGGCCAAGCTTTTGCCCATAACAATCTGAAATTTACTGTATGTTTCCTGATGATTAGCTGTTATTTGTTATCTTACCTGGCTTTTTAAGTTCCCAACACATGACAAAAGAAAAAAGAAGCAAAGCAAAACAAGAAACAGATGGATGAAACATATAGTCATGTTGATCAAATGTTTTTTCTCTTGATCAAGCATTACATCCCAGATTGAAAGGAAACTTGAGGTTGAAAATTCAGAAGGCAAGATGAAAGTAAGGTAAGATATAGGCTAATATGTAGACATGTAGCTAGGAAATCCTTAGTAGTTCTGATACTTAGAACTGTTTAAAAACTGCACTATTGTATAATTATATTCATGGTAAAAAAGGGCCATTGGAGCTGTTATAATATTTTTATACTCCTATTTGACTTTGAGATAGAAGCAGTGTCACTTCAATGGTAGAATATTTGGACCAAATAAATAATTCATGCTTTAAGAAAAAATTGTTGCATCAACAAAAGATGTATGTTCCTACAGGAAGCGGAATGGACGAATTGCATATACTCCTGAAGAGGATTTGGCTTTGTTGGACTTCGTGAATGAATATTTTACCTGCTATCCTATTGGAGGGAATGCTCTGTACAAAAAGGCTGAAAAGCAAAAGGTGAGAAAGAAAATCTTAACTTTTTTGTTGTTCTTTGTTGTCTCTCCTCTGGGGAATGGGGTTACTAGTGTAGCAAGATGATGCATAGCTGTAAATACAATTATAATGATTTTGATGTAGATTGTAAAATGAAGAGGTTTGATGTCAGTTGTAATGATTATTGTTGTTATGGTTAATGATCACTCTCACCACTTGAAAGCTGCTAAGCATGACAAATTTTTTTATTAATATGAAATTTCATGTGTAGGTTACAACTCACACATGGCAGTCAATGAGAGACCATTATCTCAAAGTTTTACATCCTAAAACAAAAATTGATGAGCGGTACAGTCAACTGTCCTTGTGGACAAGAGGTGGAAAAAATTCTTCTGGTAAGATAGAATAGTTTTATTGGATTTTCTGATTGCTCTGAAGATGATGGTTCTGTAAAGGACTGTTATGGTTGACAAGAATGTTGTTTCTAAATTAAAATTTGTAGGTTTTAAAGGAAATGAAAACAAGAAACATGACAGACAGAAAAAAACTGAGAAAACAGAGAAAGGTAAGTACATGTAGCTCATGCCAACATTTCAAGTAAAGTGTATGGCAGAGAAGTATTTCATCCAGTCTTCATATTTCAAACCACTGGACATAAGGAAAAGTTTCTCTAGCCAATTTGGTGTCAGATATTCAATAAAAAATTGCATTGAAACGCTGAAAAACATTCATTTTTGGAAAGTGGGGAATGACAAGACTTATAATTTGATACCAATATACTTAGCAATGAAAATGCCTCAGAAATCTGATTGGTTTTATATGCTGCTGGTTTTATCTCATTGTTGTATATTTTCAATTTTCAGGGGATGCAAGGATAACTAGGGCTCAGGCTGCAAGGATGAAAGAAGAAAATGAAAAAGGTGAAGGAATAGTAAAGGAAGATAAAGAAAATGAGGAAGGAGATGAAAAGACAGATGGAAATGGGGAAGAGAAAGTTGACACATCACATGAGGATACTGACGAAACAGATAGTGAAGCAAAAAATGCTGTAACTACAGGTAGTCCTCAATGATCTTCTCTTGCTAATAATAATGTTATGTAGAGTGTGTGTATGGCTTGAGGTCTGACTTATTTGAATCAATTGAAAATTTTGAAGCTTTATTGAAAATAATGTAATGACAATAATGTTAGAAATAATTTTGCTTGTATCTTACAGTTAGTACAATTTCTTGCACCTCAACCTTTCATACAACATACTTTGTCACCAAGCCTCATATAGCAAAACTTATTGTTGAAGTGTAATCTTGTAGTTGTCACTGGAAAAATACATTGAGAGGACAAAGTTCATTCTCTTTGTTGGAATAAAATTTTAACATGGGATTTTAAAATGTATTCAGTTTATTTCATGATAAGTTTTGTCCTGTTTTGTTAGAAAACTTTCCAGATGTTGAAAGTACAGCTGAGGTAAGCAGTGCTGGTGAAGATGTGGATTATGATAAACAGTTTGATGACAACCTTCTTCTAATAGCTTACAAAAGCAAGCAAAGACCTTGTGTTAATCATGTTTGGGAATCTTCTGAAGATGAAAATAAAACTGAAGAAAAGGAAGTCTCCTCAAGCCAAGATACTGATTCAAGTGTTGTGACAAGGAGGAGAAAAAAGTTAAGTGGCAAAAAGGACAAAATGAGTGACTTCGATGGAGAAGTTGTTTTTAGAAAGAGCCCTTCAGCGAGAAAAGGTCCTTCTGATGATGAGGATGAGAAGAGGCCTTTGGCAAAGCGAAGCAAGATGGCAACCGAGTTTCCACCTGATCATGAAAATGGCTCCAGGGGAAAGGAGGCAAAAGAGATGGAAGCACATTTACATTTCTATCAACAGATGAGAAGCAACATTGAGGTTCATAATGTTTGTACTTAGCATGGACAACCTGATGACAACTTGTTTTAAGCTAGTTTATCAAAGCATCCCTGTTAGAAATATCTGTAGCAAAGGTTCAGATCCACCTTGAATTGCTGAAAAAGTAAGGGTGGCTGTGAGCTCACCTGTACACTTGCACTCTGGAACACTTCTTATTTTTATGACTTTAGTAGAAGAATAACCCTTGATCCATTGATTGCAATGTTTAAGTGAAAATTGCATCTTCAAACTAGTTTTTTAAGTTACAGGAACACTAAAATTACTGGTTAAAATGGAACAAAGTGAAATATTGGTATCATTTTTCCATCAAGTAATTGGCATTAAAAGGAACAAAACCATTTTGAGCAACCTTAAATGAAGGCTGTTTTGAACTTGCAGAAAATGCAGTCCAAGAACATGACAGTTCCTCAGATCATCCACACTTTGCTTGTCAGCTCTGGAGATTTTGGCGATGCTGAAAATTATCTTAAGGAGGGTATGTACAGTTCTGGACTTGATACTCTAAAGGGTAGATGTTGCTATCCACTAAATACATAGCTATCCAGTAGAAAGCATTTAGTCAACACTTATCCACTGGATGGCAATTTATGTATTTGTAATGGTTATCCACTCTTTGAATAAGTGGCACCTTGCTAATTTGTGCCTGGCACAATATTACACAGCACTTTTTTAAGGGAGTAATTGTATTTTGTGAATCTTTGTTTCAGAATTTGGTTTGGTTCCACATTTTTGTTTGCTTGCACTAGTTGTTTCTGTTCTAAATGTATTACTTCCTTCCTTAGGTAAAGAACAATGGACACCCCAAGAGGATAAGATATTGCTGAGTAAAGACAAGACAGGTATTACCAGTCTTGCTAAGAAGAGAGGGTTACAGGCTGTTGTAGACAGGATGAACTTTATGGAGGGCACCAGCTAAAACATTTTCTGTGAAAAATCTTTCTTAGTTGCCCTAGTAAAAATACAACAGTTTATATTTGGAAAATGAGAAAAATTTTGAAATAAGGTCCCAACATCATGTAGCACTTTTATTGTTAATACTCCTTTTGAAATCCTTACTAGAAATTTACAGTTATTCCTCCTCTATTTTAATGAGAAGTGTATTAAATTTAGGAACTTTGAGTTAACTTTTAGGTAATAAACTATTTTTTCCTAAATACCTTCAGGTAAATACTATATACAACAAAATTACAAAATTATGAAAGTTGTATCAAAAGAGAGAGTCTTAAATTTTCCAAATAAAGAAAACCTATTTACAAGAGTGTTGCATCCTGACCAGATACTACCGGCACATATACTTTGTAACTGAATATCTCCAATGTTTCACAACTACTTCTAATAATTAATAAAAACTGTCACTACCTTCAAGATACAGGTATTAAGGTAATTATTGAGAGTCACATTCAGTGAGGTTTCTGTCATAAGTGATTTTTGGGTGGAGATAGAGCATACTGTTCTATCGGAATAATTTGATGTTGACCTAAATTTCCTTTGTGTTAAAATGCCAGCAATGCATTTGAAGATGTACTTGAAGGAGTACTTTGCTGCTCAATGTCAGGCTGATCCAGAATGCCAGGACTGGATGCACAGCGAGGTATACCTTGATTCTCCTGTGTCACATGACCACTCATTCCACTTGGCTTGACCATTTCCTTAAGCAAAGAGAACACCAGGGTTTGAGGCTTTACTGTCTGTTTCGCCAGCTTTTCTGTCTCCACTGACTTTCTAAGGAGTACAAGATTATGGAGAGCATCTTCATCTCCTGCCTCTGCTGCCATGCGGTAAAATCGAGCAGCTTCCCTCTTATCAACCACAAAGCCACCAAGGCCATGCTCAAAGAACACTCCTACGTTGTACTGGGCTCCAGTATGTCCATGCTCAGCTGCAGACTTGTAAAATATTCCAGCTTTGGACATGTCTCTCTCAACACCAAGACCCCGCTCATAGCATATTCCAAGATTATACTCTGCTGATGAATCATTTTTAGCTGCTGCCATTTTAAGATAAGGAACTGCCTTTTCATAATCACAATGGCTGGAAGATTCATCAGCATAGTACAATCCTAGAAATGACTGTGCCTTACACAGGCCATGTTCTGCAGCTTCTTTGAGAAGCTCAATTGAATGTTGAGGATCTTTCGAGAGGCCCCCATCTCCCTGCATGTAAAGAATAGCAAGATTATACATGGCTCCTGCCTGGCCCTGAGCTGCAGCATTTTCATAACACTCTACTGCTTTAGCCAAATCTTTTTCCACTCCTTTGCCATTCTCATAACACAAACCCAGGTTAAATTGTGCCATACGGTGCCCTCGGTCACTGGCTTGCATGAAAAGGAGAAATGCCTTTTGGTGCTGCTTTAGTGATGCAAACTTTATGCCAAGCTTATTTTGGGTGGCTGCTGTGCATTCACTGAAAGAAGCCTGGAATGTAGCAATAGCTTGATCTAGAGGGTCTGATGTCATAGCATTTCCCACATTGTGGACTTGAGAGCTTCCAGCCAAAGGCAACACTCCAAGAGTAGTATGGAATCTGCTCTCTGGTAAAATCTTTGACAACACATGAGAGGGAATTTTTTTGATATTAACATTCCATAGAGACTTTTCATCTGTAAAGAACCTGCGGCAAGCTAGAAGGCTTGAAAGGGCAAGCACCCCTGAACACCACTGTCAGAAAAAATTAAGAAAAATTAGTTAATGTGAATTTCAACAAAATTGATGGCCTGTCCTTCAATTTGACACAACAGGGTTTTTCTACTGCTTTATGGTAATCTGCCAACCATTATCAACCCTTTGAACACATTAGGCCTCTTGTGTCCCTGTTACAATTTTATTCACAAGATTTGTTGAGCTCTTTTAGCAATCACAGTTCATTGTGCTTATCAGGAGTAGGCCTATTTTAACCCGTTTGGTCTTTTGAGCAATAAAAGAATTGCTGGGGAGAGGAGAAACAAAAACGATTTTTTTGGAATGCTTTAGGGTTGTAGAAAGTATAGGAAGAACAATACATTGTGCTGATGCAACCACATTTCACGGTCGGTCGAATTCTTCCCGATTGACGCCTGTTCATGCACAAGCAACATGGCTGTATTTGCAACAAATTTATCCACAGTAAAAGATCACATTAAAGGCGATAAAGAGTTGATCAAGAGACGGATTTCTATTCTTTGAAAGTTACCTCACTATTAGGCTTAGCGGTTCACATAAAATGAGTAAAGTAAAGAGAGTTTTTCCGCCAAATTTACTTGGCTTAAAAGATATTTTTTTAAGAGACCATATAGACTAGGTAAGGCTACATGTACAAATCGTGAAAATCATAATTAAATTTAGCACTTTCAGTTTCACTTACCGATCCCAATTCCCCATGGAATGCCTTAGAATTTTCATCTTCCTTTCCTCTGGCAAAACAATTCGAGAAACTTAGGGCTCGATTTTTCTGGGCGTTCTGAATGTTGTGCAAAATACATCGCACGAGGTCGAAGCCAGACTTCAAAGTTTCGGTCTCTTGTTCTTCCCATTTTCTGGCCTCTGTTACCAGTAATACTTTGCCATGATACCTTGGAGACTTTTGAAGTCCTTTATCTTTTTCTTCAGGGTATGAGCTATTCTTATCTTCATTCTTCTCAGCAGCTTGAATCTGCCCAAGACGAAGAGATGAATTGCCGGGACGGCCATTCACTGAAAGAGGAACAATGTGTGAATATGAGCTCGGCGATCGTTTTCTGATGTTTTGGATTTGAACACTTCAAAATTTCACCAAAGACTACTTTGAGATAGATACTAACCTTTTCTATAGATAAATCTCCACATCCTGCACTTATTGTTTACATCTCATTCAAGGTCGTTTTACATCTTTGTCGCATACCGGGTTGTTCGACACCATGTTTACACACCGCCAAGCCGCAAAGTAAAGCGAAATTTACATGAATTTAAAGATGATGTCATCGCATCGTGATTGGTCAAAAATACCAGATTCGCGTGATCGCACATTGCTGATACGTCACTATAATCTAAAGTCCATTTTAGCTCCCAGTGTCTTTCTTCTAGGATCAAGACGAAACAAGACTTAACGAATGAGTTTGGCACCAGTTTCAAACCCCCCAACCTTATCTTACCTATAATTTCCTATGTGATTTTCCACTACAGCATTTGCATTCAATGTCACACTGTTCAATGGAATATCAATAACTAAGGAGGAAAGAAAAAGGAAAGTAAGGGAAAAGGAAGTAAAGATGAGATAGAAAGAAATAGGACAATTGGGATTGGCCGAAAAAAAAAAAACAAAAGGGGAAAATAAAATTTATGTCAAAAATGAAAAATAAAAAGTTTATTTTAATAGTTTCATTCACTTTCAGTAAGTCTTCATGAATATCTCTCTACAGTGTTTGAACACAACATAAAGTTAGCAAACCAACGTAGTTGACAAGGGAAGCTATGATTTCAATCCCTTGTTTGTTTTGTAGTTTGTTTACTAGATTCTTCTGTAGGCTTCCTTTTCATTGTGAAAAGACAGCATTTTGGCCCTAAGTAAGAAACCAGTAAAGGAGTATGGTTAACAATATCTTTTTAACATTAAGTGACACATTGCTTCCAGTCTTTTGTTGGCATGCAACCAGGTGCCCATCTGCATCTATCTCTAATTAATGAGTAAAGGGGGTAATTGTTTAGAGAAACTGTGATGCTGCGTCAGTGGGGAAGTATAACAAGATCATTTGGTTTTATCAACTAAGTTGATAACGTAAATTGATTGCTAAAAAGAGTTTCTAAGTTCATGTTTGTAGTGTTAGCTCTTCATCAGAGATAAAGACAAAGGGCTAATGCGCAAAACAGTAGCTTAGAACCTGTTTACGGGAGCCAGGTTAAAGAATCAACTCAGTTAATAAAAACACATTATCTCGTTGTGTCCGATTAAGACCTAGTCCTTCATTCATTAAGTCTCTTTTCTGGTCAACTCTCATTGTATGTTTCAATACAGTTAAGTTTTCTCTCAGCTTGGAAACTTTGGACCTCCACCAGAATAGTTTCCTGTTATATTAGCTTTGCTGAAGTCAAATCCAGGATTCTGTTGGAAAATAACAAAACAAGTCATTTTGCCCTCTGTTATTGGGTCCCTCAATCTTAACTTTGATTAAAACTTATTAAGACAGAGGTTACCTCTTTCTGGAATCTTTCTAATGTTAGCTTCTTTTCCATTTCATTGAAAGTCCATGGGTCAGCAGAATATTCACTGACCAACAATGATTTCCAGCCACTAGCTGCATCTCTGCTAGATTTCACCAGAATTATTCTTACAAGTTCATTGTCCTCTAAAAGTAAATCAAAGACAACTGACATTGAAAAAATATAATTTGGTTTCATCAGCTGAGTTAATAATGTGAATTGGCCAATGCAAAGAGATTCTAAAGCTGAAATTTTGAGCATTAGCCCTTCATTATTTTCTCTGAATAGGGCTAACCCTTGAAAATAATAATCTCTATAACTGGATACCCCCCATAATTCATATGACACAAAAAACTCACAGGAATAGGTGGTTGATTCATCTAGTCTTGGGCTTCCTTGCAAGTAGTCCTCTTTAAATTTCTAGTCATGCATTTGACTTCAAGCACAAACACGAAATGTACTAAATTTCAGCGTGGAATTGTTGACTGCATGCAAGTCCCGTTAAGAAAACTAATCGTAAGCAACCACGGCCAGGCCATTTCTGGCGTTCACAGGAAAGTGGCCTGCCCCAAAGGAATGCACCACTGCAACTTGTCTCATTATTTCAGGCTTGTACTTAATTAATGGGACTGAGTTAGCCATTGCCATACCCTACGATACTTATGATATGTCCGCATAAAAGAAACGTTCATCAAGCTTATTTACCCAATGTCCAAGTGCTTTCATCAGCTAAAACTGTCCCATAGAGTTCTCCCTATCATGAAAATTATCACAACCACATTAAAAATCTGACAGCAATGCATGGCTTAAAAGAACACGATACAAACTTGCTTTTCTCTACAAATAAAAAAGTTAAAGTTTCCCCACAAACAACGAAGTCATCACAATCTAGAACTTTGATCTAACAGGCCGATCACCTTGAAAAATTCTTGTCCTTTTAAGCTAAACTTTATGTTTTTTGGACTGATATCACACACGATTTCTCTCCCTCTGGTTCCTTTTGGTACAATGACCTCGATGAAAACTTCATCAATCGTCTGTGCCCAATTCCCCCATGGAGTTTTCGAAGGGACAGTTCCACTTTTCTCGTCAAAGTGGTCCGCCATCTTGTTAACCGATCTTTTGTGTACATTACACGACAAGATCTGCGTAAAAGGGTATTGCCGCTGTTCAGCTTTCAGCTGTTGGCATTTGTAATGCACTTAGGTGCACGTGTTATTCACTCTTCTCTCGGTATATACCAATTTCCGGCCAGTTTTTTGAGAATTGTGACTCGTTGTTACTCCTATTCTGTTGCAGAAATGTCGGTAAGTGATATCCTCGTGTAGGTTCTACGTCGTCTTTCAAAGTGTTAGGGTGATCACCCATTCTTTCCGCCTCAAATAATTTTACTTTCATTATCACTTTTCAAGTGGAACAATATTGTTCACTCTTCTCCCGGTATATACCAATTTCCGGCCAGTTTTGTGACTCGCTGTAACTCCTATTCTGTTGCAGAGTGATTAGGTGATTTCCATGTGTATGTTCTACGTCATCTTGCAAAGTATTCGGGTGATCACTCATTCTTTCCGCCTCAAATAATGTTACTTTCATTATTACTTTTCCAGTGGAACAATTGCGTGCACACATGATGCAAATATTAAGGTAGCGAGTATCTTACAATGAATACTGTGTTACAGAAGGAAAAGGGATTTGGAGAGCTGGGCTCTTTACATTATGTAGATCTATGCCATGTTATCTTAACAGGGTTTCAAAAATGAACTCTGCACCCTGAAAAGGCTGATGCAATCTTGAGGATACTATGTGAAAGAAGTTGCAATCAAAATTTATTCTGGCAAAAATTTACTTCATAACGCCCAAAATTATGTTAATGGTGTCAAAACTTTCCTTAAACTGAAAAGGAAGCTTAACACCAATGTATAGAAGTGATATTGGTCACTTCCGCCTCAGATGATAGAGCCTCAGGAAAGTTTGAGAGCACCTACTGACCCCAGTAGCAAATAACAGAGACTAAGTTACCATAAATGGTCTCAAGATTTTCAGATGTGTATTAATCCCCAGTTAAGCCATTTTACCTTATAAGGGCATCAGAATGCACAGAATATGCTATGTGAATAACCTTGCAGATGGCTTATTTATATTTGCTGCTAAAAATGATGTTTATAAACTATACACAATAACTCTCTGCAAGCATTGTATTGTCATGTATTCTTGTAATGGTTATGTGAAACATAGATGAGCCAAATTTTCAAGGAAAACCTTAAGTTCACTTCATTTGTTTTTATGGAAAAAAAAGTGAAAAAATTAAAATAAAATGGATTACAACTTATGTACTATTTAGTTAATTTGAATCATATAATTTTTTACTTGTAGTTTGTGAGTTGAAGGTTTTTGTCATTTAGATTGACAGGAAGAGTACAGCCAAGGTTGATTACCTAAAGGAGATAGAAAAGCAGGTCCAAAAGAGATGGGCTGAGAATAAAACCTTTGAAGTGGACTCTCTTCCTGTAAGAATCATTAACACTATGGGCCTCTGCCACATTCCTCTTATTTTGTGTTTTAATTGTCACTCGTATTCAGTTTCAATTAACTTTGATATTTCTCTATCAACAGCCTGGATCACCAGATGCAAAGTAAGTAAATTTTTATTGTTGTTGATAATCCTGGCTTTGATTTCTTATGATATGGATAAACAATTAGCTTTGTCTTTGAACATGTTACAGAATGAATCTAAGTTTATGTCAAGATTGATTTAATGTTGGAGAGGTGGTGCAGAACCAACCTTGCATAAAAATTGGTCAATTAATTCACGTATGTGTCAGCCAGTGAAATTGTAGTTTGCAAGACTGACAGAGAGCACAAAGTTTGAATGTAAAGCATGAGTACCTGGCAGTTGTTAACACATAGCTGGGCCAGCAAATGGTTTTGATAAAGTTCCATATTATTGATATAGGAAAGAAAAGTTCTTTTGCACATTTCCGTATCCTTATATGAATGGAAGACTTCATCTTGGACACACATTTACCCTTTCAAAGGTATGCTGCATTAAATAACACAAAAGAACATGGAACTGAACATTCTTTTTGAAGTTTCTAAATTATTGATAATCTTTTTGATTGACTAGATTTATGCCAGTTGATAAAATATTAATTTTATGTTCTGTTTGTTAATTCTATGGCTGCTTTTCTGAAAATTATCCTGGATTCATGGAACAGGCTGAGGTAAAGGACTCTTGAACTGTTTTTTTCAGTTATTTTTTTCACTCATAACTTTTTCTCATTATTCAACACTATTTGCCAACTAATTTTTTCCAAATTTAATTAAAAATTTTTTTTATGAATGATTAGCTATTGATTACTTGTATTTTAAGTTCAGTCTTTATTTTATGAACAGTTTGCTATTGGTTACCAACGGCTGAAAGGCAAGAGATGTCTTTTTCCATTTGGACTACACTGTACAGGCATGCCCATCAAGGTAATTTTTAAAAGGTTGTTTCTACGTCTAGGCATTAATTTTTACTTTCTGTAAAGGGTAGACAATCAGGTAAAAGCTCTAAGAATTTAAAATCCTTTGGCAATAGATATTTTCCAGTCATTTAAGATGACAAGAACAATATGATGCTGTTTTTTCCTTGTTTTACACTATAAAAACATCTTGACTGCCTCAGAAAATTATCCAAGACCGTGAGTTTTTTATCCCACTCTATTTGGGATTCTTCCCCTCTACACAATTTCACAGATATTTCAATATTATCAAGTGATATTTTTGGTATCTTGCGTTCAAGGAAAAGTGGCAAATGTTTCACTGAGTCAAGCTCACTTTCTTTTCCTTAGCGCCATCTTGAAGACCTGTTATTGGCAGAACTGTAGTGATAAGTGTTTTTAGATTGTTGTCATATGTTTGGATGATAACTTGAAATATTGACAGTTAAATTCCTTGTTGTTTCTTTAAAATAAGAACGATTATCCTTTTGTTAGGCCTGTGCAGACAAGCTGAAGCGTGAAATGGCTGATTTTGGATTTCCTCCAAAGTTTCCTGAAAAAGTTGAAAAAGAGGAGTCAAAACAGGTGCAGGAAAGAAGCTGTAGAAAGTCTTTTTATGGTGGCCAGTTTACATAATCAACAGAATTGATGAAACCAATTGGTAGCGTTGTCCACAGCATGAAGTGTGATGTACAAAGTCCCCTTATATCACTTTTTTATTAAACCTTTTGATATTTTTTGGGAACATGAGAATGGCTTGTGTTGAGTCAGAAGTCACTTATACCATAAATAATTTATCTTAAGTGAACTTAATGCTTATTTCTGAAAGACTGAAAATGTCAAGTGGAACAAGTTATAGTCTTTGTAATTGTATCCTGGTTTTATCCATTTAGATGAAAAGCAAGGTTGCAGCCAAGACAGGTGGTTTGGAGTATCAGTGGCAAATTATGCAATCACTTGGATTGAGTGATGAAGAAATAAAAAAGTAAGTGCTGTTCTTTTAATGATCATACAGTTGACAACCACTGATGAGTGCACCTGTAGTCAAGGTTCCATTTCTTTTATTGTTTTTCTTTTATCCTAAAATTTTTTCCCAACAGTAATCTTTGTTCTTGGATTTTTTGGGTAAATTTTGATGAAGTATCAATCTATAATTTCCTACTGCTTAACTGCTACTCACATTATTTGTTGACGTATTAATTCAGGTTTGCTGAAGCTGATTACTGGTTACATTATTTTCCACCTTTGGCAAAATCTGATCTGCAAAATATGGGATTGAAGGTATGGGAAATTATGGTATGCTTTGATTGTTAACTTTTTAAGGAAAGGTGGAAGTGTGGATTCCTATGCTAAATAGATTTCTATGCAATGGAAGTGGAAGCACTCCTTCCACTGTTACCATGCTAAAGATGCTCCAGTCTTTACACTGCTCACTGCAGGGTTACTTGTCCTTTTTTACCTGCATAATGTTTACCATTTATAAAGCTCTAAATTTATCATTATTTTGTTTAACTCACCAGGTGGACTGGAGACGGTCATTTATCACCACTCATGTCAATCCATACTACGACTCTTTTGTAAGGTGGCATTTCTGGACCCTTAAAGATGGTGGGAAAGTCAAGTTTGGCAAAAGGTGTACATTGCTTTGTTTCATCTACTGTGAAAGTGATATACTTCACTTTAAGTATGGTAAAGAGTACATGATATTCATCTGAAGCATTTCTTTAGTTTTACTTTTTGTTCCCGTTTCAAAAATAGCCTCTATTCAAGGCCTTTTTGTTGCTGCCTGCTTATACTAGTACCACCTCTAAGTTGGCTTAGACCCAGAAGGCTGCAGTCTGGCTTGAAGATGTATTCTCTGCTCTTACCTCTCCCTTGGTCGATAGATGGCTTACAAGTTATCTACAGAAACAACAGTGGGGTGGTCAATTAGATTGTTGCCCATGTTTGTTTGGTTTTGTTTGGTTTTGTTTTTGATAATGGTGATGGGGGAGGAGGATAGACAGGTGTCGTCTTGATGCAGTTCCACTCTACACTTTTTATCTTATTCTAAATTCTGTACAATGAGAATCGGCTAACATAGTTTCTTCTTTTCCTATCAGGTACACAATTTTCTCCCCTAAGGATGGCCAGCCCTGCATGGACCATGACCGACAGACAGGAGAGGTTAGTTTAAATCTCAGAATTAAAAAGATTTCTTCTATCTTCTCCATTCTGTTTATTAAATTAATGTTATTGTTTGGTTATTAGGGAGTAGCACCTCAGGAATACACTGGAATCAAAATGAAGATCTGTGAACCATTCAAAGGGAAACTAAGGTATTAATGCAAGTGGAAATTTTTAATGGAATTACCCCTGAATACTTCATTTAAGTGGACATACCATATTGATCCATGTATAATATGCACTTTTTTCCTCTAAAAATAACCATAAAAATCGTGGTGTGTATTATACATGGTTTCTATTGTTTTTCAAGCATGTCCTAATTTGCATACATTAAAAGCACAACAAAGAAAGTAACAAAAGCCTAGTAGTTTAATTGGTCTTTATTAGCTTGAGTTAAATAATCTACTGATGAAATATTTTCAATTTTGATTCACAAACACAACAAAGAAAGTGACGAAAGCCTTGTGGTAATTGGTCTTTATTAGCTTGAGTTAA